TGAAGAAACCAAACTCAGAAAGAACAGGCCACGGTCTGAGAGTGAAGTTCAATCCATTGGCCCTCCTCCTAGACGCTTCTTTGGAGGGAGAATTTGATCTTGTACAACGAATCATATATGAGGTAAGCTTCTGAACGGCAACCTCTTGAAATATTTGGAGGGGAAAAAAAAAAAAGCGCTGAACTATTTTATGTTTTTAACAGGTTGATGATCCCAGTAAACCCAATGATGAAGGAATTACACCTCTGCATAACGCCGTGTGTGCTGGTCATCACCACATTGTGAAGTTCCTGCTCGATTTTGGTGTGAATGTAAATGCAGCAGATAGTGATGGATGGTAAGTGTCAAGATTTTTAACTTGGCATTGGGGAGAAGCAGTTTTGCACATTCAAAACTCAGTCAAGACCTCATTTGGGAACAATTTCCTTCCCCTCAACTCCCACAAAATGACCTCTTGTAAAGCTCTAGGTGGTGACGAACTCAAATGCGAGGTTAAACTGTGTGAGCACACCGAATCATAAAATATAGCACTTTTTGGTTTTCCTTAGTGGTGTAGTTGCATTCTTGTTCAGATGCTGAAATAACTAAACTGTAAATAACAAATGACAAAATTCATTTGTCTTAAGTTTCATCTTCATATAACCCACCACAGATTTTGGTGTCCTTGAAGACTCCAGTCTGACAGAGAGATGAGGCACTTCTGAAGCAGCTGGAGGGGATGTGAAACCCCACTGTGCTGATCTGTTTCACCCTCACCTGTTTTACCTTTCAAATTTCCACATATCAGAAAAATACCCTTTTAGACCCAGCAGCTTTGTTAAGCTATAAGAATCAACATTTTTGCTAACGTGTCTCTTGTGTTTGGCGTGGAGTTAGGTAAATCCTGGAACCGAGTCCAGTTGCTTCGCAGGTTTTGGACAATGCAGGCAGAGACTACAATCATAAACAATAACAAACAACTTCCTTTAAAAACAGACAGGCTAAACTTTTTATTGCAGGACAAAATATTTAGGATTCACAGAAGTTGGGGTTTTTTCATGTGTACATTTTTGTTTCATTTCAGGACACCCTTGCACTGTGCTGCTTCTTGCAACAGTGTTCATCTCTGCAAACTACTGGTTGAATCTGGAGCAGCAATTTTTGCTTCAACTATAAGTGATATAGAAACTGCTGCGGACAAGTGTGAAGAGATGGAAGAAGGCTATATTCAGTGTTCACAGTTCTTGTACGGTAAGCTGCAACACTACAAACTTCAGCTTTTCTAAAACTCATCCCTTTTTGCCCTTCTCCTCGTTCTGTTAGGCCCCAGGCTTGACTACTGCTCGTCACCTTCCTGTTCTTTCACAGTGCTCAAAACAGCAGTCTTTTCCTTACCGTGTTGCTCAGAGTCCTTCTGTTCTCTGGGTTACTTCACAGGCTCCTTCTAATGTTACAGATTTCTGAAGTTTTATTTGGCTTAATTTCAAAGAAATGCTTCTGTAGGGAGGTTTTGACAGGAACAGTGAGTTGTCAAGTACCTTTATAAAGATACTCCCAACTTCCGGGTTCACAAAGTTCTAGGACATCACAAGAAGAAACGTGTATACTTTATGAGTAATTAATTTACCAAATGTGTTTTGTCATTAAGACAAAAGGTCTAGATATGTGGCAAAATGCAGGTTTTCAAAAGCTTCAATTGTTCCTGTACAAGGGCTGCTGCAGAGAGAGAAGACCTGTGAGAAAGATACAGCAGATCTGTGAAGCTGCTTTGCTCAAACAATAGTAAAACTAGTTTTATCCTCATTTGAGTAAAAGATTGTAATTTTTATTGCACATACAATAAAAGAGAAAAACCTCATGCTCTAAATTGGTTTAAAGTGTTCTGTAAAACTTGGTTTTATCAATTTTTTTTAAAGCATATCAGCATGGAAGCGCTGCAAATTAATGAAATTTTATTAATGAGAGACTGATAGTTGGGCCTCAGTGTCTATACTCAAAGTCTCGGAGGGAAAAATAGGCTATTTTACCAGCTAGGGTGTGCTCTAATCTGCTGTTAACAGGAGTGCAGGAAAAGTTGGGAGTGATGAATAAAGGTGTGGTGTACGCGCTGTGGGACTACGAAGCCCAGAATAATGACGAGCTGTCATTCCATGAGGGCGATGCCATTACTATTCTGAGACGCAAGGATGACAATGAAACGGAGTGGTGGTGGGCCCGCCTCAATGATAAAGAAGGCTACGTGCCTAAAAACCTCCTTGGGGTAAGCTGCTCTTAAGTTACCTTCTCCCTTCTACTTTTTTTACTTCCTGCAAGGTGGATCTTGGGTCAAAATCCCATGTGCGTCAGGACACACAGCTGGGAAGTGGTACGAAGCAGATTATCCTGACTGGCCTCTGTGTCACTGTAAACAAGGAGAGGAGGCCATGATTAGGAGATCGGTGCTCTTTTTTATTTGGCAAGCTACTATATTTAATGTATAGTTCATGCATTAATCTTTAATAGGATTTTCATTCCCCTGGGCCAGAATATAGGGCCCCTCCATAAGGCATGGTGGCTCTATTCGGCTGCTCAAAGCTTTAGCCCAAGAAGTTCTTGTAGGAAGATTTCTTAGTACCTGGCACAAGGCACTAAAAGAGAGACTGGGAGTGTAACGCTACCAAGTAGAGAGGCACAGAGCACAAAATACATAAGAAAACCTTACAGAGCAGGAAATAAGCTCCCCCTAGGGCTTGACAAGGAATTCTTGTACTCACGTAAAGGCAGCCTTCAGTCTAGTCTGGGATCTTGAGCTGAATGAACCGAGTTAGTTTCAGAGCAGCAGTTTTGCTGCTGTTGGCAGGAATAAGCCAGCCCTCGGCCTCCTGCTGCTTCTGGTTTAATTTCACAGAATTTACGGAAGAACAAGCTATAGCTTACAAAAACCTCACCCCCAAAACACTGCATCACCCAGTTCTTATGTTAATAAGTACCCTTTGGTTATAGTTCAATTCATTTGTATTTAACTTGGTACCAACCATGCAAAGTCTAATATTCTTATTCTGTTTTTACAGTTATATCCACGAATAAAACCTAGACAGCGAACCCTTGCCTGAATTCAGTTGTACAAGAGTGCAATACCGTGCTGGTAACTGGAAACTTAAAACATACCCTGGAGCCATCATTTTCGATCATTTCATACACAGAGAAATAAAACTATAATATTTAGTTTTAATGGTGCTTTCTCTTGTTGAGTGGACAGCATCCACAAGTTTCAAGCTCTGCAGTTTGTAAATGTGACCCACCACTGATGAGAGTGATCGATACCTCCACTACCTGCAGTGTTGCACCAACTATTGTCTAGAGCGGTGTTTTCAGTTAAAGTTACGTGGCAGGAGCTTTCTTGTGTTAATTGTTCAGAGGTGTCATTTGCGGAGTGCAGATACGCTGTCCAGTTTGCTCCAACTCCACAGCAACTGTCCCATGTCAGGATTTTGGCCATTCTGTTCGATACCAGTGAAATGTTGATTTCTCATTACTGATCCACTCTTTGGGTTCTAGGACACAAGAACTTCACCAATTACATGCATCATTAAGTAGTCACCAAAGCTTGATGAAGGCTGGGATTCTAAGTGGGTAAAATCCTGGTCTAGACAACCCCCACAAAAGCTTTACATAGTCTAGCATCTAGTATTATTTGCATTTAGACTCAAGCTAGAAAACTAACAAAACAACAGTATTTGTACACTTCTCATTGGTATTTCACGTGATGTTTTCTTATTACTCATCCTACAGCACCAGTGTTACCTGTACTAATGTAAAGGTTCCCCTACTAACCAACCACCTGGGCTTGTCCATCCTGGACAGAACAGTTAGTACCGAACTTGCAGCAGCTTAAGGGATTTGTATGTCTGCATGGATGAAAGTGCAATAGTTGAAAAGGGTAAGAGTCTGGTAACGGTTCTACTGTGTCATTTGAAGTCTGCCTGAGTCAGTCTAGAAGAAAATATGAAGGACTTGATAGAAGTAGAGAGAGGGCTGTGTAGATGCTGAGTCAAGGAGAAGAAAGAAACAAGGTGTAGAGAAAGATTTAAGAAAGGCAATAGCTTATTTGAGGACAGTTTCTATGGTTCTTGGCAGCCTACATCTGTTGCCAAGGCAAGTTATGCAATAACCTATTCCACTACATTGTAGTTTCATGCAAAAAAAAAAAGAAAAAAAAGGCCCTTCACTGGAGTTTTAATTGTACATGATTTTATATACCAAAAGTATATTTTGAATTTCCCATTATATGTTTTAGCCATATTTCTTGTAATTTTCTCCCATTTAACAGTATGCAATTTGATTAATTCTTCATGTACAAGTTCTGTGTATAATTTATATATCCATTTCTGCAGTGCTGTAACTTGCTTTTACCACAGGTTAGCGTTAACTGTATATATTGTGGTGAAAAGTGAAAGGGTATTATTGTTGAAGAATTTGCTACATGAATGTGATGATTTCAAGAGCCTATGATACAGTAATTCAGAGAACATGTAAATGTGCACAATAAAGTACTGCTAAGGCATGGCTGCATTCTCCAGTAATTTTATACAGGGAGCCCTGGTACCTGTAGCTTTGGTCCCAAGCTGCATAAAAAGACTGGCTTTAGCCTGCCGCGTTCTAGCTGCCAGCTCAGGTTTCCTTATTGTTTCACCAGCAGTACAGAAATATGACTTGCCAAACAATTTTGGAAGCTCCTTACATCATTATCCCAACTGTGACCAACCCATACTTGTCCAGAAAAGCTCTCAAAGGTCCTTCACGCACAAGCTGACAACTGAGCCTTGTGCTTGTTATTATTCAGGTTTTACCAGCATAGGAAGAGAAGAGGGAGGGCAGAAAGACACTCGGCTTGGTGTGTGGAGCTGGGGGATTTGTCCCAATGATTGAACCAATTACCAACACTGAAAACTAAAATTAAGATGCTGCTTATAAAAAGAAAAGTTTCAGAGTTCACAGACTATTCATCATCAAAGAAGTTACATATTGTGAAATCAGATATCTTTTTTTTAAATAAGTGAATTAATTTATTCATATTTGTACATTAAATTGTATACAATTTCAGAAAGCATTACAGTTAGATTAACAAAAGCTAGTTACCAAAAAGAAAATACAAAACTAAAAAGAATCCTGGAAGCTTATTTATTACAGAAGTTAAGTTTCAAGGTTATGTTCATGTAAGTCCAATTTGGTGGTATTTGGTGAAATATTTAGCTGTTTAAAATGAAATGTTTAAAAAAAACCCAAGTGATTTCTATAAAATCCTATCTAAGGCAGATTTTATTGTACATTGATTTTAAACATTTGGATAGAGGGAAAAACCTGAGATCTATACCCAAAAGCTATTCTCTGCAGAAGAGACATACACATTGGTTTGCTTTTTGTAGCAAACGGTATATATAATGGTTACTATAAAAGTTGTGCTGTACATTAGCTGTAGTGCAGGTCACTTTCATATTAAGTGCCAATAAAGGCTTAACAAAATATACAAAGTCTTAAAAGGTGAGGCTGTTTAAAGCATTAATTGTATACATATTGCACACTATAGTGAATACTTATGGTTCAAAACAAATACTCACGTTACATTTGCCAGTTCTTACAGAATGAACCACACTGGAATGAGAAAGGGTCAAGAACAGCAAATGTTACCAGCTGTCAAATCAGCAAAAAGTGAGAGGCAGGTCCGTGGAGGCTGGTGTCTTCCCTCAAGTGGCCAACAGGTCGCTGTTCTTACTGGTCCCGGGACTCGTAAAGAAGTTTTGTTGCCTAACATGAAGGCAAAATGTCACCGTGTTAACGGACGTTTCAATCGCAGCCACTTCATCTCTTTCCTGCCCCTCCAAAAATTTCCTTTAAACCCAAGGCTTTCAACTCTTCCTCTATTTTCCTAAATCTAAGGCATTTAATAGCATTCAGATAGGCACTCGAGTAATTTTTGATGCTATTCAGGGTTACTTGAAGTGCAAAACCTGAGGTCACCAAAGATTTTAGATGAACTTACATTTGTTTCTTCTTGATCAGAAATGACTATTTCTGATCAAAACTGCCTTGGAAATGGCCAGTTCTCAGATTTTGGTAATCTGTCTGAATGCTATTCTGTTCCATATCCCCTCCCACTTCTGTGTCTAATCCCCGCGAAGTTTTAGTGAGGTGTTCCCTTTGTCTCAAACTATGGTATCGACCAGCTCCCTGCAGCAGGAACAGATGTGCTTTCTCTAGCTTCCGCGTCCTTTCACGTGCCATTAACAAGGATCTCCAAAAGTCACTGCACTGACTGGTTACTTGAAACTGAGCTGAGCTCTTGGCAAAGGAGACCTATCGGTGGGGTCAGGTGTTAAGCTCATCACTAAAATACCAGTTCTCACTATAGGAGTTGCATCACTACAAAAAAATTAATTAGATCAGTAAGTCTGAAACTGTACTCGTGTGGCAACACAAAGTTTGAGTGTGCTGTGCTGAGCACACAGTTAAATGCTGAAGTTAGAGGTGGTCGGGGAGCTTAACAGCAGAGGTACAGAAGCAAATAGCCACACATCTGCATATGCAGACAGCTTATCAATTACAATTCTAATTATCAGATGAACAAAGTTCCAGAACTAGTTGGGGTGGGTTTGGATTTTGTGTCCCATAACTTTGACTTATGAAACAATAAACATCAGATGCATTAGCCATACAGCACCCAGCAACAGTAGATAAAAGACTTTTTTCCACAGGGTCCTGCCCTCACCCCGTTCCAGTTTTAAAAAAAAACAAAAAAACCAACTAAACTTCTTTGAACCTTCATAAAGTATTAAAAACACTTAGCTAAGTTGTACATTCTTCAGTGAGTAACAAAAAGTTAAGGCAGGTGAAGTCTTTTCACCTAAAAACCTATGTAAGATCTTGGGAAACCCCTCACAGCATCTATCTTCTTCAGGTATCTGAGCTTACAGCTAAAGCCATGCTCATAACAACTATCCATAGCTTCTGTTTTCTTAGCAATACAGCCCTAAAACCCTTAAATAACAAATAAAAAGAAAAAAAAAAGACTCCTAAGGCCCCATACTCTCTTTAGTGCTACTATGCACCCTGCACAAAGATCTTCACCCTTCTCTCAGTTTTGCCGCCTTTGCTTACCTTATGCATAGCTGCGAGCCAGCTTGCCGACAGTTTCTTGTTACAGCTGAAGTCTTCACTGGCTGTAAATTTCATCTGTGTTAGCTCCTCTGATCCTGGCACCTTATACTGCAGAATCATACCTATGGCACGAGTATTACCTCCTGAAAAAAAGAAAAAAATTAATCTTTAACAGCAACAGGTTTCACTAAGTGACACATTTTTTTCCTAGCTAATAAGCACGTTTGAAGAAAACTAGCTCATCACTTAATGAAAGAAACACCAGCAAGTGCAGGTGCACCGACAACTGCCGCATCAGAGGACGCAGTGACCACGGGTGTTAGTGCCAGGCAACGGAATGTGCAGACTCAGTCTCATTTAATTCTCTCTAGCAATTACCAAGACAAAACCTTTATAAACTGTCAGGGAAAGCCACTAGTGACACACACTAAGCATACCCTCATATTTTACTATCACTACATCTTCTCTTGAGTAGTTTCAAGAACTGAATTGCTGACTGAACTACTAGTGTCCCTGCTGGACAGAAAGTCTGGCGTAGCAGTCAGAGATCCCTCCAAACTTGGCAAAGGTTGGGAAAAACACTTAGGCGCAACTATAGGACAAGTGGCAACATCATTTGCTTCCTGAAGGAAATCCATTACGAAAGATAGTGCTCTGACAACAGCGTGACAGCGAGATGTTTGTATCTCTTTTCCTCCAGCTGCATAGAGATTAAGATAAACCAAATCAAAAACACAGGAACAACTAAAAAGCTTTGTTTAGAATACCACAATTTATTTCCTGAAGTAGCAGAGCACAAACTAAGCCCCAGGAACAGCACCGCCACACACAGGTCTTATGCAAAGTTCTTTTTAAAAAGAAGTGTCTGCAGGAGAGGGCTCCTGGAGGTCACTACTATAATATCCAAGAAACTAAAGACAGTATCAGTCTGAGCAAGCTGATCAAAAGCCCACAAGCAGCGTTTATAAAAGCAGCCATGTAGAATAAATTGAAATCCAGCTTCAGCACTCACTCCCCTGCATCCACCTGGTCAGAATAATCAATTACATGACTACTTTAAGATAAACCAGTGGAAATCAAACATCTACGCCTTGACCAGTGTGCCCATGTCTGGTATTCCAGGACAATTACCAAGTCAGGCAGAACACACCTTACATACCAAGAGGTCTTATTTCTTTTAAAGATGTGTAAAAGCAAGCCGTTAAAATTAAGAGTTTATTTATTTAATGCAAAGTTCTGCTGGACTGTACACAAGTAGGGTACCCTTCACTTCTGGTATATACTGTTCAGAACTTAGGATAAAGTAGGTGCTGTGTAATCCTGCGTACTGCTGAAAATACTATTTCTCATCCGCCCTTCTCTCTTCTAGCACAGTCCAGAGCACTTGTGGTCTAAGGGCGGCCCTGAGTGTTTTAGTCCTCCTCCAAAAAGTTAGAAAACATTCATCCTCCATTTATTAAACAAACAGATGGGAAGGAATAGATAGGTGTCATATTTGAGCACGTCTGAAGTTGAACAGCTACAGGTCAAGCACTGTAGAGGAACGAAGATGGGAGGGGGGCCACAACAACATGCTTAGGTGAGTCATGCTCAAAGGCACTGGTGATACCTTCCGTAATATGCTGGCTCTCCAGAAGGCTGGTGTAAGTGTGAGTGTCTTTTTCTACCATCAAGAAGGCAGGCAGGGAAAAAGATAAAGCAGTCAGAAGAGTAGTGAACAAGGAACTGTAGGAGCATTAAGTTACTCAGCAACACATCTGGTTGATTTGAACACTGAGATAAGCTTATTGAAGTGACCATGCTGTACTGACTGACTATTGCACAGAAAGGCCATCTGATTAGAAAACTCCAGCAGTGACAGAGGTGTTGCTAAAGAACAATTAATAAATTCCTGACCTGGTTTGTTCTCATTTCAGTGAAATCATATTCAAGTTCATCCTGAAATTATCTAAAATCTGGTAAGAGATGAGGCAGTAAGTAGCTGCCCTCCAGTTCAGATGTTAGCAGTTTCATTTGGCCACCCCTTCATCTTGAATGAAATTAAAAAAGCATAGTTTAATTAATTATTTCCCCCCCTGCCCCAAGTTTCTCTCTCATTCGTTCCAGACAAGAAATCCCAGCCAGATTCTGAAAGGGAAGCTATTTAGATTCAGTCAAGAGAAAGGATCCGAAGAGGCAATGACCTCCTTTACTCTGGTTAATCGAGAAGCTCTCTCCTATTACAGCTGTAAGGCAATTTCTCAGTTCTTAGCTTTTCCCCAAAAACCCCAGGAGCTCTGTGAACAGGGTTCCACACGCGTCACTCAATTCTGAAAGCAGTTGTGACTAACATAGTTATAGTTACACCTGTTACCAATAACCTAGGGATGCATTACCTAGCTCAAGCAATAATTAAAACTTCACATATTTTTTCTTAATAGTTAATTTGTATTCAATGAAAAAATTACCTCCAGGAGTAAATCCCTCTGTAAGTATCTGAACAGTTGAAATCTGTATAATTTCAATTTCATAGTGGCTGTCTCCATCCAAAACTAGGTATCTATGTAACAGAAGAAAAACTTTTAAAATAAATAAATAAATTTCTACAATAGCAAGTCCAAATCAAAGGAAGAAAATAAATGTAATCTCTCAGTGACTGTTTATATGTTCTTAGGGGTGAAGAGGAAAACAAATCAAGCAGGAAAAATTACTCTTCATTAAAGTTCTTCTCTTAAAGGGAAATACAAAAAAGCCAACAACACTCAAACCTCACAAAACCTATAGCTCGGTTTACCAGGAGACGCTTTCAAAATATTAAAACCATTCTTCCAAAGCTCTGGAGGGAGAACAGTGTTCTAGTGAACCAAATTACAGGGACCTTAATAACCTTAAATAATTTGCTGTAGTGTCAGAATCATCCCAAAATCAGATTTTTCAGTGGCTACAGATCTCCCCTGCCCCTGCTTCTTATGATCCCTGGTGGCACTAAGAAGCATTATCAATGAGGGAAACTGCACCATTCCAAGGCATTTGGATCCACACTGCTGGTAAATTCAACCAAACTTACTCCAATAAAGTTGTATCTAAACCTTTTGGTTCAATTACTCTCTCCAATATCTTCACAGCATGTTACTTTTATATTTTGTTTAAGTTATTAGGTAATAATACAGCTGTAAGTGCAACAATAATATAGTTTACAAGTGCAATTTCTGTCAATATTTCTCACCTCTGATTGTTGGAAAGTCGACAAACCATGAGCTCGGATTTATCAGATGTTCCCAGAGTTACAAAGAATGTAGCACCTGGAAAGAAATGTTTTAGTATTCTAATGCACAGTTTAGGAAAGAACATTCAAGTATCGAAAAGGTAACTACGTTTTACTTACTGCACCTAATACACAGAACTGGGTGAATTAAGGCACTAATTGAAACTTTAAACTGATTAATATCAGCAGAAGACTCGAGTATAAAAAGCTGATCTTGAATTATCATGTTCTGAATCACAGGATCTTTCACAATTGCTGTATACTTTCTCACATGTTGTAGAAATACAGATGATGTCTAAGATGGATCTTTTAAAAACAAGAACAGATGTGGAAATGGCAAAAAAAGGCAATTAAAGACCTTGTCTTGTCACCATAATACAAACAATTGTTTCAGTGTTCAAAGAACAAAACAACAGTCAGAAAAATCTAATAGCAAGATGTTACCTTCAGGTCTGTGCTTAATAAATAGTAAAGAAACCTCTTTTTCATTACTGAAGGCTCAGTGTTCCTCTGAGGTCAATGAACTTCAGCTTTCATGTTACGTTTTTCCTGCTCAAAACAGCTCTGCTGACATCAGGAAAGTCATCTTAGCTACATTAGTGAAGTGATTCATACTTAAAATAAAGCAGACTACACGCCAACCACTTCATTTCCTCCATGCCTCATGCTGCCTGTATTACCTAATCCCGATACTGTTGGTCTGGGAAGTAACAACATGCAGCCCTGCCAGTGGTCTGCGATCTATCTCCAGCATCTGAACTACACAGCCTCAGAGCTCATCAACCTCACCGTTACTTCATAATTTTACGGTCTCCGCAACCCCTCAGTGCAGACCCTCAGGCTGCTGCTGAAGCAAGACAGAGAGGCAACAGCAGCAAAACTGCAAGGGACGTCACAAGCACCACATGTCTGATTTGAGATCTGTGCCTCTAACAGTAAGCCCGGAACAACTTCGGACCTTAACTGCTTAACACACATGCAAGTAGGACAAGCTTTAAGACAAAAAAATCTTCATTTTAAAATGCATTATTTAAAAATTCATCACTGCAAAACAGTGAAGGATGATTTGCATGTTACAGGGATGAACATAATCTCTGAACACAGAACCTCCCTAGGAACATTCATGCTAATCAGATGTGTGGTTTAGCTTATCTATTACACACTGGCATCATGCTGAGGGTCGAGAGCCCATCAAAAGGCACTGAATGATCACAGAATATTTTAAAAACTGAAGACTCGGCTTTCCTAAAGTAAGTGGAACACGAATTACTGTACTACATGTAGCTTTAACGCGATGCAAAATTGACCACTCACAACGATCTGCTACCAACCATAGCTGTAGGCCATGGACAAGATCAAAGCTCACAGACAAAGCTTGAAACAAGTATGGCATCTTGTTAGAAAATAGTAAAAATATTCTCTATTTTCAAGTATTTTTCATCCTTATTTAATGTAACAGGAATATCGCTAAAAGATGCATTGTTTTAAGAAAAATCGCAACTGCACGTATCTGTTCTTGAAGACATTAATTCTTGTAAACATTGACTAAAAAGTATAAACGTCTCTCTGAATAAACTGATAATGCAGAATTATTAACTGGCAAAGAAGCAGCATGAGAACAAATGGTATTTAAAGGAGACAAAACTGCAGCTCGTTTGACCAGAGGCATTACTCTTGCTGTTTATCAGATTTAACACAGTGTTTGAATAAATATAAATGGGATCAAAACAGTCCTTACCATTCATGAGTACTTTAAGCTGTTTGTCATAAAACTCTGTTTCTTTCTGAGAGACGAGGGCACATTCAGCACACTGGCGCACAGGGTCCACAAAGCACATGCGAGGCAGAGGCACTTTTTTACTGCAGCACTTGTCACAGAAACACTTTCCACATCTTCGGCAGTGATGCTAAGCACGAGAGAACATTCTGTTTATTTATTTACAATGGGAGCTACTAAGGAGTGATTTGATAAAGTTACTATATTAAAATCTTCTCCCTAAGAAACAGGACAGTTTCTCAGGTGTGAAACACACAGGCTAAGGGACAAGTAGAGGAAATTTAACTGCTAGAGTGATAGAAAGTAATCGCTGAAGACTGAACACAAAGGATGGAGTACAGTATGAACAAGAGCGCTATGAGCCTTTGCTGGCGCTCTATAAACACTTCTATAGTGGACCAGACAAGTCACCGAAAGGGCTTCCCCAATGTCCAGTAAATCCTTCACCTTCCTGTCAGTAAAAACATAAGGGAAGAGAAGTTTCTAAGTCCCTTCCCACCTCCAAGCAAGGATCTTGGGAAACTTCAACTGGAGATCCAATTTTCTCCCATAAAACTTATTCCCAAATTTTTCACCATCAAAAAAGGTAAAAGTCTTCACACTTAAAATCTAAAGCTGTTTCTCTATCATAAATATCAGGCAGCATACAGTACAAATCCAATGAAATTGCATAATCAGAACTAGTATTGCAACGTATTTCACAGCTACTAAATCTGCAACAAGTGACTTGTGCTCCAAATCACTATCGGGGCGTGACAGTCCCAGCAGGTCTCCCTGATGCAAGTTCTCATGTCAGAACAAGTATTCCCAAGCAAGCAGGAACTGACTTGTGGCTCAAAGCAAGTTTGAACAGTTTGATACAAGGAAGTGATGCACTGCAGTTCTGGTCAGTGTTAGGCTTTCCTTGTAAATATTATACAAAATTCTCTGGAGTACCTCTTCCTCAGTGGTACCTCCATTTACCTCCCAAAGCTAACACAAGTAAAACACAGCAGCCTAATGAATCAGTGTGTCTCAGCCCAAACACCCAAACCATTCAACCACCACGCTCTTAACCCAGCCAACTAAAAGGTAAAAAAACCCCACACAACCAACCAAACCAAAACAAAAAACACCTAGGAAAAAGTACACTCTGTGACTGAGAAGTGGAGAGGGAGGTGCTGATCTCTTCCCCTGGGTATCCAGTGATGGAACATGTGGGAATGGTTCAAAGCGGCGCCAGGGGACGTTTAGACTGGACATGAGGAAGCATTTCTTCACCAAAAGGGTGGTCCAATACCACAACGGACTTCCTAGAGAGATGGTCAATGCCCTAAGCCTGTCAGTGTTTAAGAGGCATTTGGACAATGCCCTTAACAAAATGCTTTGTTTAACTTTTGGTTTAACAATTGGACTAGGTGATCGTTGTAGGGCTCTTCCAACTGGAACAGTCCATTCTATTCTATTGCTAGTATCACTAACTGACATCCTAATGCTCTTCAGGCCTCCTTAAAATTTACACCTACCGGGCATGACATACCAGCGTGTCTGGTTTTCTCCTTCCGTCTCCCTCCAAACAGTAAGTTAAAAAACACTGACTATGTCAATGCACTACAAGTAACATTTCCGCATCCTTCTTCAGTTTCACGAGCACATGCTAAATGAGTATGAACGTAGTTATACAAAGGAATGACATTCCTAGCTAAAAATCATTGATGGCTTTTTTTGGGAGGCTTCTCCATGCAGAAACTTCAGTATCAGCAGAATGTTTTCCAACAGTAGTATTCTGCACACCAGCATGCATTCCACAGTGATCTGCTTCCTTTTAAGTAATGACCATAATTTAACTGTAATGTTAGTGTTTCCTCTTCACAGAGTGAGCCTAATTATGGCTCACAGCAATCAAGGCAGTTTACACTTTCTACTTTAATCAGAAATTCCCTTTTCCAAATCTGAGATAAACCCTGTTTTACTTTTGGAACACAAGGAAAATCTGAGTTTTGGTTCTCCGCAGTTTAGTGATATGGTTCTTTAATGTAATGTTATAAATCATTACTCCTGAAAACATTTTTTGCTTACATTTCCACAACTAATTTTATCACCGAAAACAGAACTAAATTAGTTGATTTCATTTCCAAGTCAATACTGACATAAGCAGCCCACTCCAGCACAAGTTTCTCTAACTCTTGCTTTGAATATAAATGCTGTGGGTACCCTGGAATTTGGAAAAAAACCCAACTATGTATTACACATCAAGCAACAAGAAGAAATTCAAAGAAACAGCATTAGAACAAAAAGAACCTCTCCTCAGAAAAAGCAGAATAGAAAGAAAAAGTACTTTAAATTACAACAGATTTTGCACACTATTCTACTGTAATCTTCTACATTTTAAGTCAAAAGAAGACCATTTCATTATTTTGCAACAGTTAAAAGCTTTGCATTTCATTGACGTCTCTTACCTTTCTAGTTATGAAGTCAAATTTTGTATCACACTGCATGCATCTTGGGCACTAGAAAACAGTAAAAATTAAGATTAATCTACGAGATTTCTAAGCCTTTAATACTACTACCATATACAAAAGACTGAGCTTTGTACTATGCCCTAAAAAGAAACACCTCCAACAAATGTCCATCCTTACCTTTTCTTTAATACTGATGTAGCAAACTCACATTAACTCCATGTGTAAAAGGAGAAAAAAAAAAGCCGCCAATCTCATTCACCTGAAGGAATACTGCATCTTGTCAGCAGTCAAAACTACATTTCAGAAAAGTATTTATGCTTAATTATGTTTGGCTATCCAGACAATCATATATTCCAGAGTCAACTGTTTTTATGCAAGTTGTCATCCTCACTGTACTATTCCGTGATGCTCTGTTGACTCTCGACAACATTGTTTACGTATTTTAATCCTCTCAAAGCTTACACATTTTTGAACTGTGATAGAGTTATCTGGTTTTCTTCCAAGTAATTAGGACTTAATTTTTGTTCCAGTTACAAAATGCCACCTGAATACCTCTTGCCTAACAGAAGCTTACACCTGCACTCCTCCAAAAAAGGCCAGAAAACGTGAAGTTTCTCTCTTGCAACTAAGTAAACAATTTTCTAAACTACCAGAAGCGATTAGTGACTGTTAAGACAACTAACATTTCCTGTATAGAAAGTCACCTACCAAGAGGCTGATGTTCAGCAGTTAGATCACTAGATTTTCACCAAGATTTTACATGTTTTTATCCACCGTATCAAAACCACTCTCCAGGGTTTATCATGTAATTATTGCTAGATTTATTTGCAAATATTAACTCAAAATTATGCCTGACATCGAATTCAGGAGAACATGGTTAGATACCATAGTAATTTTTGTAACTCTGGAGGCCGAAACTCCTCAAACCAACTATCTCAGATTACAGCTGAAAGTCATTTTAAAAACATGCCCTAGGCTGAGCAGATGCTACTTGCTAAGCACACAGTAATCACCATTTTCCTTTAATTAACATATTTCAATGCTGAGCCCTTTATCTTCTATGAATTCCTTCAGGTTACAACAGCTTTTGTTGCCTACTTCAGGGACTTTTGCTTCAGAAGATACCCAATCACTGTCACAAGTTCAAATATTGCAGCAGCTAAATTAGAAATTCTCTAGAAACTTTGCAGATTCTATTGAAGTAGAAGATTGTTAATAATTTGCAATAGTTTATATGAGGTGTTCTGAGGTCTAAACTTTAAAAAATTAGAGGGTAACCGCAGTCACTGTAATGGAACATAAATAACTACTTGGATAAGCCATGTATTTCTAAATCCCACACAAAAGAGAACTAGAAGTGTTCCTGTATTGTTGCAAATAACCTACTGAATTAAGGCATCCAACCACCTCTTTTCACAATGGCTGTAGAAAAGCTTATTCTAACATTCACGGATGATGCATAAAGCAACTTCAGCATTCCCCACATTTCATGTCTAACAAGTGGTACTCTACTGCTAATCCTGTATTTTGCTCTACACTGATCTTGATTTAGTGTTTTAATTTTTGGTATGTATAGCTTACCAGCTTGGCTGGTAGCTGGACCTGTCAAGAATTTTGGTGTACTTTGAATTTACCATGAGTCTAACTTATTTTCGTAATGAATACATGTATTTTTTTGGTCAGAAACTAGAAAGCACAAGCCACAAGCTAAGGGCGGGGAAAAAAACCCCGCTCTTCTAAATACTGATTTCATACACATTGCTTTTCAGGAAGGAACAAAGTTATCTACCCTCTTATTTAATACAAACCCTATAGAATAAAATTTCTGAATTCCAGATCTGTCCCAGTAACATCGCCTCATATACAGAGCAGTCATAAATAAACCACGAGTCAAATGGCATATGGCAGCAGGCAGTGCAGAAGGGGCTTTTCCTACAAAAATGTTTTAACACAAGTAGGCTCAACACACTGTTTCTTCAAGGTATTTCTGCTTTAATTAACCAGAATCGATTGAACCCACATGCACAATATCAACTTCTGCTTTGCCTGGGAAGAGATCCCTACTGAAAGGCAAGTTCTTCCTATTCATCCAAGTGCTGACATTAATTAGAAAGTGCATGAGTAAGCACTAAATTAAGCTTTATGGCTTGGATGATTTTTATTTCGATTACAGAGAAGGAAACACAATGTTTGAATTACTTTTCACATCTTCAAGATACAGGCTTTTTTAAACTAGTACTGAGATTATTTGTCAAGAGGAAACAAGAAGGTATGAAATAAGAAATAAAAATGCATGTCACAAGTATATTCACTTTACATACAGGCAACATACCACTAATACTGATATCAGATTATTTCATATAGCAAGAGGGAAATGGAAGAACATCCAACAGCTGCTGGATCTTGGTATTAATTTAAAAAAAATACTGAGAGCTAGTCCAGTACAAATGGAGTAGAACTTTTCACATGCTTGCTGAAGTGTGATAATGAATTTGTGTAATGCTTCAGATCCAGCTAGAGGTGAGAACACTGCAGATGGACAGGAAACTATAGTCGCCCTTCATGGGCCTTATTTGCATATACAGTAACAAAGAGATTCCAGAAGTGATGCAAGGTAACACCCAGTTGAGCTTGTTAATGCGGTGACTTTTGCAAACATGAAAGCTCTGAAGCTCATCAAATCACACCTTGTAACACACCTGACCAGAACAGCTGACAGCACAGTGGAAAACACCACAATGAAAACACACCTCAAATACAGGTTATGATGCTTTCTGATCCTACAACTGTACAGTACCAATTGCCTCAGCTACAGGAGCTCACCCACAGTCCAAGTACAGCTGTCACCCAACCAGTGCCCACTCCGAGACCCTGAGCCAACTGAGGACCCAGCTACATGATGCTCAGTTGCCTCTCACGGTGATCCAGGAGCCCACGGAATCACTGCCCACGCATCTGGGAGCTCCTCCCACACAGCCCAGCTTTGAGGTACACGGCATTCCCCGGTCACAGAAAGGTCTGCTGCTACACAGCTAGATGTCGCGACGTTTGGCCACCTCTGCATCCTAACACCTAAATTTTACCCCAAGATTTTCTTCATATGAACATCAACAGCTGAGTTCTGCCAATGATTAACAAAGAAATTCCAGGTTACACAAGGCACACGCAGTGGCCTCAAGTGTCTCAAGCTTAATCATGCTCAGCACAATTTTTCATGATACTATCCACCTCAACTCATTACTTTATTATAACTAAAACTATGAAAAAGTTTTCTTTAGCTCTGCTTCAGTCTTACAGTTCTATTTCCTCAAAATAATTGATATTTGGATTGTATAATCTTGTGACATTAAAAAAAAAAAAACCAAAGTATTTCAATGTCATGTAAGTTTTGCAAAACTACCAACCGCCACGATTTTTAGGTGGTTTTACTTTTTAAGAAGTAAACCTGTAGACTGTTTCTGCATAAGAAACATAAAGCTACTGAATTTTTGAGTGCTACTGGCTGCATAGCAGAAGCCAGCATATCTGAAAAGCCTGATCAATTTTATCTTAGATAGAGAGCACTTCTTTAAACTACATCTGATATGGTAACAAAAGCATTTTTTTCTTGCTGGATTCATTAAATTTAACTTTATTAATAAAAACATGGGATTTATAAGCTTCCCGGTATATCACATATCTGCTGTATTTAGGGAAAAAAGTTTGTAACCATTTACCAAAGGCATGCCAGAACTTCAATACTCTTTCAGAAATCTAGTAAAGTAACTTTTTACAAAATAATAAGAATGCAAGATTAAAAATACAAATTAACAAATGCATGTAAAACATTTGCCTGTAATAAACTTCCTCTCAACAAACTCTGATGCAAAGGTGACATTCAGTCGCCAATTAACACCCTCAGCCTACCAACCAACAGGCTACAGAGGAAAAGCTGAATTTTAAGGAGAACGAATAGCTGCAGTACAACTGTTAATACAGAATTCAAAACTAACAACATACATTAGACTGATGTATCTAAACCATACAGACTTAATTCTTAAATATATCTAAATAAATCTTATTGCAATTCTCAACCTTTAGTTGAATTAAGATAGTACTGTGCATTAGATCGAGTTAGAAGTACCTTGTTGTGTTTCAGGTTTGTTTTTTTTAAACGAAACCAGTTTGCTATAAGGGCTACTGAAATACAAAACTATAAAATTTCAGAAGGCCAAGAAAAAGAGCAGATTTCAATTTAACTGTTACACAAATTATATGCACTGATGATGATTATGACAATGTCAGAAATCAGCTTTCCAGGTGGCGCAGGTCAGTGGACAAAGCGCACAGCAAGTCACCTACACAGCAAAAGCAGGCTCTGCACAACCACTGCTCAGACTTTGCTACAAGCTCACTGATAACACAACCCCCATCTGCAACACACCCAGCACACCACGTAACACACAGTGCCTGCCTGCTGCGTCAGAGTCCCAAGAGCAGAGAGCACCAATAACTTCAAGTGCCACCAAGCTCTCGTCACTGAAATTTTGTCTTGTCCACGCTGCATATAAAACAGAAAACCAGTTGCTACTGCTGACAGGAAGAATTTTTATTTTTTTTAAAACCTCTACGTACAAAAGAAGAACTTCAGATAACTCCCATGTTTCAGGAGATTGCTTATACAAAGTAAGTTGAAGAAGTCACCTTCCAGTAAAAGGGCTGTTATTTTGGATGAAAAAAAGCAACTGACCTACTAGCCATGCACTTCAAGACAGCAAAGGTTAGTCTCAGTGGCCTGAGCTGCAGAAACTGTGCTAGCAGGGTGAGTCTCCTGTATTATTATTCTACACATAACTTTTTGCCTCGAGAGATACTAACTAGGGGAAAAATTTTCTTCCTCATTCCTAACCGAGGAGGACATAGTGTTCCCATGCAAAACACACCAACCATGTCTGTCTCTGGCAAGGAATGGCTATGCTTAATGACTCCCTGCTTAAATTCATATTGGTTCACCTAAACTAAATCTTAATTCCAAGTCACTTGAAATGCACTGGCACGTGCCCACACCACAGAATGCTGGCAATAAGTAACTAAACCATCATTTGATTCTAAGCTGCATTAGTAGAGACTAGTAACAGATAACATGTATCACATGAAATTTATCATCACATAGTTTACTTGAAAAGCATTTAAATGCAAAGTTGACTGAAACAGTCTAACTTATTCAATACTGAACATTCACACTGGGAGCCAGAAGCGCTGTTCTAACTGAGCCTTAATGCCGTAATACTTTGCATCATTTTTATTTAAATCAACATGGTCTTCAGCATTACGTTTCTAACCCCTGAAAGAGAACGCGTCACTAAACATGAACGCACCTCGCTACACTTCTGGCTCGTTAAGTTCCTCACTAACTTTTGCCACAGGGCCACACATCCCTCAAGAACGACTGACGGTCCTATCCTTTCCAGTCCTTGATCTAAGTGAAATAAATAAAAAAAAACAAAAACGCGGTTTAGAGCTAAATTAAACCGCACCCGGGCGAGGCTGACCCACTACCCGGCCAGTCCGTGAGAGGAGGCGGGCGAGCTGCCTGAGGACAGCGCAAG